CATTCAACTCCTAACAGACTGTCACTGTCCTTACAGACCACATGGATTACGCAGCATAAATCTGAAAGAATCACAAATTATATTGGACACAGACACTGCTTTGTGACGAGATTATGGCCACGTTTACACGGAGACGAAACGGAAAACGAACCTTAGTCGATATCAAAAAAGTCTTGCGTCCACACGGAATCGGCTCAAGAAATGTGTCCGTCCACACGAGACCACTCGACCCGCAGGAAACGCTGTAGTACTGTACATATGCCGGGCCTGTAAATGGCGCTGTACTTCCGCCACAAAATACACCAAAAGCAGCGAATAAGACCTCCCGAGCATGGTTGCCATGGTTGCCTGTTTGCCCTTCTGTTTATTCTCCACGGTGGATTTAGCAACATGTAGTTCATGTAGTTCTCCATGTCCACTTGTTGCTGATGGTTGTGGTAGAGGAGCTGTAGATTTTGCACTAACATCTGTAGCATGGTCAGTAGCGTCTGGAGCATGAAAGCAACCCTGTGATCCGCCATTGTTGTTGTTGTTGTTGTTGTTGGCGAAACACATAGAATAGAAGAATAGAATTGGGAGGGATGAAACTCTCTTTAATGGTCACACATGCAGAGCACACAGCACACACAGTGAAATTTGGCCTCTGCATTTAACCCATCCTAGTACCAGGAGTCTAGTACTAGGAGCAGTGGGCAGCTATTGTACAGCGCCCGGGGGGCAATGGGAGTGAGGGGGGAAGGGGGGTGTCCGGTGCCTTGGTCAAGGGCACCACAGCAGGGCAGGAGGTGAACTGGGACCTCTCCAAGTAGCAGTCCACACTCCATATTTGAGGTCTGGTCGGGGACTTGAACCGGCGACCCTACAGCTCCCAGTCCAAGCCCCTACTGACTGAGCCACTGCCGGACATCAGCAATGACGCGGGTGACGCGGGGGTGAGCAGCAGAGGTGGGGAGAGGCGGGGCTACGGCGTCATCGTTATCAGGAAATGATCGTATAGGACGTACACACGGAGCCGTTTGGCCCCCCAGAGCGTTTCGTCCGCAGATCTACCCACCTTGGGAGCCGTTATCGTTTGAGGGCTCCGTTTCCGCGGTTCTGTTACGGCCTCGTGTGGACGAACCGTCCATACGATAGAGAACTGTAGCGGATACAACCCGTTTCGTCTCCGTGTAAACGTGGCATATATTTGTGGTTTTCCAAGGAACTATTTACTATTTCCAGTGAACAATGGCAGAAGGAGTAAGAGAGAGAGACAGATGGGAAGAAAATAGGATGAAAAGGGTGGAATAGAGAGAGCTCAGTGCATCTAATTACAGTAAGGGGCTCATTTCCTCTAATCAAATAGCCCAGTTAAATATCTCAAAGGCAGATTCCCCATAGAGCCGATCTTCACACATCAGCAATCAGTCACTGAATCTCACCCTATTCTTCTTTATTCATATTGTTCCTCTTTAGAAAGGCTTCACACAAGCCCCAAACCTAAAATCATTTATGTATCTACAGATTTGTAGCAGTGCTGGGTTTTGTTGCATTGGCCTGGGGCGGCAAGATGGCTGCTACTGATTATAGTCACAGGGGACATACATCATCTAGTTAAATACAAACTAGCAGCCCTGTGGCCTTTTCCTTCTGCAGAATTTCCCAGCATTGGATTTTGACTTCAAATATTCAAATCCCAAACACTTTGCACAGTTATTTTAATTGCAAAATTACAGGATATTATAAGTATAATAATGTTGCCGTAGTAAATCCTGCCAAGCCATGCAAAGATCATCTTGTACTTCTGAACTGTTTTGTGGTACATTCAGAAGAAGATACTTTAAAAGGGGACCTATCATGCAAAATGCACTTTTGTACGTCTTTTATACATGAATATGTGTCCCCGGTGTTCCAGGGAACTCACCAAGTGTCAGAAAACACAACCCTCTCTATTTTCCTCCATACCCAAATCTCTAAAAAAGGGGCTGCAACGGATCTGATAAAAACTGATCCAGATTTGAACACTGTCCTGACGTCAGGACGGTGGCGCTACGGCTATTAGGCCAACTCCACCAATCAGGAGGAGACAACCACCCATTGCCGTTCGAAAGCGCTGGAGACGCTGTAGTACATATGCCTGACCTCTAGATGGTGCTGTTGCTCACAGAATCAACCCTTGCAAAAACAGAGCTAACATTTTTCAAATTGAGCGAAATGAGGCATGGCTAAAATGCATGATCTGTTTGGTATTTTGAAAAAATAAAAGTATAAATATGCCTTATATAGGTATGGTCCTACACTATATTATTCAAATATAGCATGATAGGTCCACTTTAACTAGCACTGATTAAAATTCTCCAATCTATATTTGATTATTCTCACAATATGTAATTATAAAAAGATGTAAGCACTGCTATCAAGTTACGTTGTACTTGGGAAGCACAATATTTGATAAAACGTAGAATTGGATAAAACATACTTTTTTTTCTCTGCTATATGAACAAATAAAGGACTCTCAAGTCACATGACAAGTCTACCACATGACAGTAACTGAACTAAGAAATTAAGAATGACTCTGTAAGCAGAGGCACAGGGCGACAGCGGGGGTGGGCGGGGACAGGACAGCATGCAAGCCACCACACACACACACACAGCACAACACACACACACACACACACACACACACACACACACACCACACACATCACACACACACACACACACACACACACACAACACACACACACACACCACACTACACACACACACCACACACACACACACACACACACACACACACCACACACACACAACCACCCACACACACAACACCACACCCACACCACACACACACACACACACACACACACACACACACACACACACACACACACACACACACACACACACACACACACACACACACACACACACACACCCACACACACACACACACACACACACACAACACACAACACACACACACACACACACACACACAACACACACACACACACACACACACACACACACACACACACACACACACACACACACACCTTGTCCTTTTCTTATTGTTTTGATAACTTTGCCAAATTACCATTACCATGTAATTACCATTACAAATACCACTATTGTGAGATAAACAAGTTACATTTTCAGTGGCTCAGAGTTTTTGTCTCCATCACATGGTGTAACAGTAAACACATAAAGCGTATTATATCATTTCTAGTCCAGCTCATTTTAAGCCCTTTACGCATTCCTGCGATCAGGTGCCGGGGTACAGGAGTACAGAGAGCCAAAGAGAAGGCCAGCAATGCTATTACCACACAGTCGGTGGCCGGGTCAGCATTCCTCTAAGGGAGAGAGAAGCCTTGGCATGAAAACTGCAGTGAGAGCTGGCAGAAACCTCGAGACACCTTTGCTTTCCTTTTCAGCCTTTGTTCTGCTCGTTTAATCCCTAATTATAAAAGGAAGGAGGAATCTTTCAAAACTGATTAATGGACTAAACAATGTACAGTGTGTGTGTGTGCTGTGTCTGTGTGTGTGTGTGTGTGTGTGTGTGTGTGTGTGTGTGTGTGTGTGTGTGTGTGTGTGTGTGTGTTGTGCTAAAGGTTCACAAAGTTGTAATCAGGTACAGTATATGTACTTGGTAATAGCCTAAAAGTAGCTGAACAAAGTCAACCCCCTATAAAAGGGAAATTACACTTCATGACATCATAAAAAACACCTGCATTATTGTAAACCAACACTTCGATAGACTAACTCTTACAAAAATCTTAACTTTTTTTGAATCACAGACCAAAGAGATGAAAGTTGAAATGTCATAGTACTGAATATTTGTATGTTTTAATGTAAAACAAATTAGTATAATTTCATATTAAATAGGATCAAAGTGAAACTAAGGGGCCTGCAAACATAAGCTTCCCTCACACCCTGATTGAGGATAATCTAAAGTGTGCTCCTGAAGCTTACATTAGGTACATTGTTATTTTTGTATGTAATATTTGCTGCAGGCCTATATTTTTGAATCACTTGAGATTGCCTTCTGATGCTGGTACTCATGTACTGCTATCAAGATGTCATAAAAAGTAAAGTCCTACCCTTTACCTTTCTTTCAACCCTCTCACTCTTAAAAACGACAGCAATTGGATATGAACCCACTTCTCACTCACACTAGCACATTCTACGCCAACTAGCAATCAGGTAAAGCTGCAGTAGCTTTAAGTGTTACTGAAGTTTTTAGCCTTATTGACCTCATCATCGCTCAAGGCTTTTGGCTGTTCTCCTCCCCGTTCCCTTTCTGAGATGTGCCACAGAGCGATGTGCCAGTTCACATTAAGAGAGGAGTGGAGAACATTAGATGCTCGTGGCAGCTGCTTCAACAGGAGTGCTTACTTCCTTATCAGTTTAAATATGAATAATTGTGAAATTATACAACAACAAAAATGTCATACCTGGAGCTGTCATTTGATTTACTTTCAATGAGTCAATCAACAGAATATTTCTCCCTGAGAGGCTTGTTAATCTGACAGATTTCATATTGAGTGAGTTATAATATTAAGTTCATATGAGATTTTTTAAAGAAGTTTTTGATTCATTGTCAAACGCTCTTGATTAAAAGTTAATTTAATATGATTGTTCTTACCCCGACAACAGTGGGAAGGAAAACCTTAATGATAATGACTATATTGTGACCAAATGTTTTAGAAATATGTATTTTATGGGTTGAACATGACTCAACAGGCCATCTTTCCACCCGGAACCTTGAAAAAGGGTGAGATAGAGTCTTATTCATGTCACGAAATTCAAACTAAAAATAGTTTAATTTGAACGCCCACTGAGCAACTCATGCTTCACACATCCATGCGCTCACCCTGCTCAACCCCTCCCTATCTCCCACAAAGGCTCAGACTTAAAACATTTTTCTAAATTATTCAGTGGGTGAAGTAATGCGGAGACCTTGGGGTGAAGTTACACTTTAATAAAATTAAAAGGGAAAGCTGGAAACTGGGACTCACAATGCTGTTGAGGTCTGAATCATCATAGCTGTCACATGGATGTGTCCCCGGCCCCCCAAGTGGATCGAGACCATCCTCATCCCACATGTAGGTTCCACCAGAGCTGTTGGAGGGCGACATCTCCACAGACGAAGCCTGAAGGACGTCAGCCGGCTCTGAAGACAAGCCCAGCGGTCCCTGAGAGTCCTGCATAGGGCTCTCTTCTTTATGTCCTGCAGAAGATAAATAAACGCATGTCTGAAAAACGGACAAAAATGTAACAAACATTAAATAAAATTACGAAAATATCTTACCTGCCAGATCCATAGTGTCCCAGTCAAGGCTCTCATTGAGAAAGCTGTGTAAGCGGGTTTGAGTAGTGCTGTCAGTTCTTCTGTTGTCAGGCAGGTCCCCATCACTGAACCCATCTCCCAGACAGTCAAAGTCATCTAGAAAATCTTCACTGGTGTCGCCTCTGTCTAGAGAGGAGGCCGAGGATAAGGACATGTCCTCCAAAGTCTCACCTGCTGTCTGGCCAGAGATCTTAAGCACACTTTTTTCTCCTTTTCCTCCTCCGGAGCTTCCATCACTGTCACTGGGAGAGACTGCTTTTGCAGTCTCACTAGTCCGCTCAATGTCTATTGCTATCCCTAATAGCCCTGCAAATTCAGGGGCAGTTGAAGGTCTGATATCCCCCTTGACCCTACATGGAAAAAGTGGCTTTTGCTGCTTGGTCTGCCCAGATCGAGCCGGCCTGTAGCCCAAAGACAAACCACTGCTTCCCAATGACTTGTTGAGCACACAGCTAGGGAGCAGAGGCTTTCTCAGAGGACTAGGAGTAGTGGGCGCTGGAGGGATTGAGAGAGTGGGGAGAGAAGAGGCAGCTGAAGGTGGTCTACTGTACTGAAGTCCTCCACCTAGACCTCCAAGGCCGCTATTCAGGCCTCCGAGTCCTAAACCCACTCTTCCATTGCTCAGCTGAGGGGGTTTGAGAAAACTACTGCGAGGAGGCCGGAGCTGAGTGTTTGCCAGAGGCTTGGCTAGCTCTACAGCCCGGTTGAAGGAGAAGGACCGCGTCATAGGCTGGCTGGTGGGTGAGGGAATCTGCTTGAAGTGAGTGAAGCTGTTTGAGCGCACCATGTTGTCAAGTGCCAAGGTCTTCAGGCTATCACTTGACTGGTACAGGCTGTCTTGAGAGCTGCTTCTGGGAGAGCTGGAGCCTGCTCTCGGCCGCACAAGTCGGGATTCTGACCCCGTTCGAACTGGACTGCTGAAGCCATTATGGGCTGCAATTTTAGGACCTCCGTTCAGTGGGCTTTGGTCTAGCTTGGTCACTACTTTGGGACTCATCTTCAAGGATTGCTTGGGGATGGCCTTGGGACTGGAGATAGCCACCGTCAAAACACCTGACCTCCGCATCTTGGGCGTCGATGGAGAGCCATTTCTCACCTCCTTTACCAGAGGGGGGAGCAGTGTCTGAGCCTTTTCTTCAACCCCATCCTCAGGGCTGGTGGGGCTCGAGGGGGTCGTCCCCTCGTCTCTCTTCCATTTGAAGGAAAATGAAGAGGCTCGGATTACGCCATTTGGCCGTGTTCCTGAGGGAGTGGTCTTTCCATCCTGAGTGGGGGTGGTCGGGTGTGTAGAACCATTGGACAAGGGGCTGGCAGCACCAGTCGAGGAGCGTCCACCGAACTTAGGCAGTCTGGATACCATGGCGGACCTGATATGTGATTTTTCTTCCATTAGATGCCAAAAAAGGCATGGAGGGACATGGAATCACACACAACTGGGGAAAGAATACACAAATAGACGATTAGATTTCTGTGTGCATGATTTGACTTTGTATGTACTGTAGTTGAAAATCCTACAAAGCAAACACAGTCAGACACACACACACACACACACACACACACACACACACACACACACACACTATATGCCGTGACCATATGCCCTGATAAATAGTAACAACACTAAGGGTAGTTTTGTCCACCTGCTGTCCCGGACTGGTTGCCTGTCTGACTGTGAGGAGCATTAGGGATTAATCCGGCAGCTTACAGGATGACTTGAGGCTTTGTCACGGCAAGTCTGGCTTTATACTTTCACGTGGTCATGTGAGAGACATAAAGGCTCAATTATTCTGACTTTACGCAATCCGTACACGGCCACAAATTTCAATCACACATGGGAAATCACATGTCTCTACTTTAAACCATGCATAAGGTACTCTTGACTCTATTCAAAGCAGGAAACAAAAATGTATGAACATAAATCCATAGCAGGAACCAGAGTATTGTGTTTATTATTATTGAATCTCCCAAAATGTATGGGTATATTAAGACAGTTAATAGAATAATGATAACTTTTTTTTTTGTTTCACTGATGACATGACATAGAGTTGCCACAGGTTTTGGAGGATATGGCGCCGAGATGCCTGGCCAACAAAAGAATGGGCAAACGGATATACACCGCCTGGGGGACAAGGGGAAGTGTTGGGAAGGTAGCCAGCACACTTTGAATAGTGAATGGAGGACGTACAGCTTGTAAGCCGATGGAAGGAGAACACAGGGCCGTTTCCTGCTACTCGTTGTTAAATTCATTCGTTTCCAATCAGCCATGTGACAAGTGTACATGTGTTGGTGGTGCACCTGCGTGTTGCATCCATCTGGCTAGTGCTGGAAGATTATGAATAGGAAAGTTACTGAAATCCAGATGGCTGGAGCGGTTAACAGAAAGTGATCCATCTGCATGAGGGAGCAAAGCAGTGACTCAAAAACTGTCTGCAGACGGTTGCCCCAGATAGAAAGTAAATGTATTTTTTTGAAATGCAGGCTGTTTTGTTGATCAACAGTAGATCAAGCAGTCTCCCCCTTTTGAGTAGATCCTTTGACAAACTGGCACAAAGACACAAAGGCAGATACTGGGGCAATAATCCACTCAACTTCTGAATTAGTGGGGGAGGGGCGTTGTGTGAAAATGTGGGACTCGTGTTCTGGAAGAAAAAAAACGTCCACATACCCTGCTGCCCCACATTCCCATGCACAGACACACGCGTCTACAATCAAAGAGACACACTCATAAGTGCTACAGAAGTCAGGCTATGCCACCATCCTAATCTGCTTCATAAACACACTTCGGCACAAATACGAAAACACACAGTTGCACGCAAAATCAGGTCAGCAATTGCAAGTGGGGCAACCAAAGCCTCTTTGCCCCGGGGTGGGGGTGGTGGTTGTGTGTGTCTATGTGTGTTTAATGGGTAGCAATTCGATTAGAGGTCTCGCCTGTATGAATGGCCCAGAACCTCTTAAGTTTCATTCACATCCAGCGTGTCAGATCACCATAACAAACAGCAAATCCTCCACGCAGCTGTGGCAAATGTTTTCTCATCTGGGTCATCTCACTTGTCACCCAGACATTGGAAGATACCCGTTGGCAGTGCGGGAGTTTCCCTTTGATGTTTGAAGTCATTGTAAAGAAATTCCCCATCCACAGTTGATATGCTTGTTATATTATAGTTCAGTTGTAATTCTTTGGGTGTTGAGTAACTAAGGAGGTAGAATAGTCTAATGTTAAGGTCTCACATTTGTATTTACAGCAACAACACAGTGGCCTACTAATGTCACATTATCAAAGCCCTGCTATAAGGCAATTGTATGTGTATGTGACCATGATTTGTGAGTTTTGGTACCAATGACGTTCAAGTTACAGTACCTTACATTGCTGATTATCCAAGGCATTTTATTACAAAATAATATATTTGAATTTAACAAAATAACTATCCCGATGTATCTATTTGAGCGAATAATTTTTCATAACATAAACACACTTACAAGCTTGTTTTGATTTAATAATGACTTTTTCACAAATTAATCATATGAATCAGCTATCTTCAAAATAAAAATATAATCCCAAAGTATCGGTTCAAATTTCAGCAAATGTCTGCTTCTATTTCCCAGTGCTATGGACCGAATATGATTGATACCCAGCCCTTTTCTCCAATACTAGTACAAGGACACAGGTCAGCTCATGAGGAGCATAAATAAAAAGACAACATCCAAAACCGCCTGACACACATTCTAAGGTAGGGCAGTAAACCTTGCAGGCCATCTGTCATGTGCTTATATGTGATGGCCTGCCCCTCCCCCCAGAGTATAGTACTGTAAATAAATATCCCAGAGTTTCACTAACATCCAAGTATCAAGGCCAACAATATGCCTCTTGTGGGTCCGCACTGCATCTGAAACAAAACCTGAAACCTTGACAGTGTGAAGGGATGAATAATGTAAAGGAAAGCCACAGAGACACAGTCTAACTAACTCAAAATCATACTCAAAGCAACGTTTGCACTCTGGATTTATAAACCTCCAACAAGCTTCAATGCTGTTGATTTCATTTGAACCTGGTTTAACACTGAGGTCTACAGAGATTGCTTCAATAATTTAGTTTATCTTTGTATTTTAGGTTTGTTTACTGAGGGTTGTAGAACAGCAAGAAACTGTTTTATCTTGATGTCTAAAAATCGCTGCTTTATAGATTGTATCTGAGTACGGAATAGATCAACAGATTAGATTAAAATCCAATATCACCTAGTGCATGAACGATTTCATCATGATTTAACTTCCAATCCAGAGAATAATAAAATAGGGTATGTAACGAAACACTGCAAGCAGCAGAGGGAGTGGAAGGGATTACAAAGAGAAAAGGGAATGGACAGCGATAGTCAGATGCTGTTAAATAAAGTAAGAATGGGAGAGGTAGTGAGACAAGACTTCAGGCAGGCTTTTCCCACAGAGAGATCTTTTGCTAGACCTGCAACTCAGCATCTCAGCAGTGATCCCTGTATGTGAAAAAAACAAAAAAGTGAGATGACATCTTTTCTTACTCTCTGTCGTACAGGGAATGGGAGTTTTCTGTCTGTCTGCCAGTGAGGCTGTTTGGCCTTACTTTATTTCTGTCTCAGAGGACAGCCAGACAGAAAGCACCTGGCAGAGATCTGGGAAGGCTGAAAAATCCGAAGTGCAAGAATAAGGTCGTTCATTACTCCCCTAGCAAAGCTTTCACTTTTGAACTGCTCACACACTACAGAGATTCATTCTTCAGGAGTAACAGGATGGATGCAGATAGGAGGCGACAGGCCGGGGGCTAGGATCTATTGGGTCAGTGGGGCTACGCATGAATGGAGGTGCTCTGCTACACACCATGCTGCAGTGTATCCCCATCTCACAATGCTCATAGTTCCCCATCATTAAGAAGTCTGAGCACCATCTCTCAAAAATAGAATGTCAGGAGGATACATCATTCCTCTCGTATCTCGCCTTCATTCAATTTTGAGACATTGATAAGGGGAGAATTGTATTCAGACGGTGGAAACCCCAGAAAGTGATATGGAATAAGTATGAAGTCAGTATATAGAAAGAAAATGCTCTTTTTAGTAGTTTCAAAAGAAAACAGTGAACAATATAAAAAAATGCAAATGCAACTTCACATGTGGGTAACACCCGTAGTATTGTCTATCAGCTGTTATTTACTTATAAAGAGTCTGTTGTATTGCATTACTTTCCAAAGCAGTGCATCACTTTGTTAATGCAGACCCTTGCTTTCAGCAGCAATATGTTTGTATTCCATTAAGTGCAGTAATAAAAACAACTTTGAGAAAATTGATTCAAATAATGATTGTTTGCTATTGTTGTACAAATAGTTTGGAAAAAACAGTTAGATTTGAAAACAATGTTTAGGAGAAGAGTTGAGCAACCTAATCTTACATAAAAACTAGCTTTGAATGTTATCTACTTACAATTTCCTGGGGGAAACCCTGAAAGTAAGATGTCTTTAACACCTTCCTGCAAACACATAATTGGTGTGTAAAGTTTTACAATCCTAGACATTAGTGGCCCTTCTTTGTCTGACATAAAACTGAAAGAAATGTTATGTCTTTTGGAAGTGGATCTATTTCAAGCTAAGCTGTAAAGTGGCTGATTGAACCAGGTTTCTTTTTGGACAGTTTTATTTTTTAACAAACATGCCCTTAGAGATATGAAAGGTTCTATAATCACATACAAATCTACGCAGACTTCAACTTTTTTCTCTGTGGTAGCTTTTCTGTTGCTACTCTTTCCTGTGTAGCGTAAATGGTAACGTGCACTTACATGAATAGCGTCCTTAGCACAAGAGCTGTATTTGTAACTACTACAAATGTAGCTTCAGAAACACTTAACAGCTTTCTCTTTTGTAGAAAAAAATGGGTATATCTGAGCAATTCAAGTCAACACAGACTGGAGCTTCACAATGAAGAGAACTGAAGAAAGGGAGAGACAGAAGAGAAAGCATGGACAGGGAGGATGGATGGAGTGAGGAAGCAAAAAATGAAGACTCTTATTGGTTATTGGTTTGATGTGGAGGGCAGCTGCAGCTTGCAATTTACCTCCATCTTTCTTTCTACTTTCTGTCGATTTTGGCGAATCTGTCTTTTTATAGTGCCAAACCAATCGTTTAATAAATCAAAAGCTAACCCTTGTCTGAAGAGCCTATATATCCTCCAGCTGGCTCCACTCTGAGACAAGATTTTTTTCAACACACACACACACACACAAAACCACAATCAGTCAGCCCAGTTTTAAAACATATCTGATATGTTGGATGAATGATATCTAATTGCATAGTCTGTGATGAAAGAATGCATAGAGGTATAATAATTATACTCTGACAATCAACTGCAGCCCAAATGACTTTTTCACCTCCTACTGACACTCCACCAAAGTCCAGCTTCATTTACATATATTGACA